TTACAAATAAAGTCAGAGCATAGCTTACAGGTACTGTCTTCCTGTAGGAGCCTGACGATGGTGATGGTGCCCCTGAGACACAGCACCCCAGGTACCATGCCCTGAGTGCCCTGCTGCCAAGTTCCATGTCTACACTTCCCTTCCAGTGCACACAGTGACTCTCTTACTCCTCATTGTTTGGTCCTTTCCCATCTCTGCTATCAGACCTTCTTCCATGAGTCCTACGTTCAGCCATGTTCATAAACACACGATGTTTCCCCGAAGCACCCCGGGCCATCCTGTTCCCAAGAGAACCAAAGGATGCTGTGGGCCACAGGTCTTGATTTATGCCATGCTCCCCAGGCATCTCCAGCATCCACATGAGGGGCACAGCAGGCGCCCAATGAGTATTTGTTGATTAATGGGACTTAAGCCATGAAAGACAGCCCTCTTTGGGGAGCTCTATCCGTTAAGTGGGTCAATTAGCTTGTCTGCCCCCCTCGTGACTGATGGGATATTGTGAATTCCTCATGTCTACAATCAGCAGATTCAGGCCCTCATCACTGCGAGTGCCTTTTTACTGTTCCAGCTACAAAAACAGCTGTAGAGTAAACTGCCATTATGCAGGAGATGGTGAGACGGAGTGTTCTGATGAATTAAACATTCTGGTCAGTGAGAAGATCATATATGCACAAGGCCAGCCTTTGCATGAACTTATACCCAAACGATATAATTGCAGCTCTCAAAAGTAACCTCAAAGACCCATCATGGCAGTGCTGTACCCCACAGGCAGGCCTTCTTTGATTTGGGGACCTCCATGAGAGACAGAGATTTTACGAGGGGCTTGACTCTCTTCTGGCTCCCAGAAAATCCAGGAGCTATCTGTCTGAGACTTAGTGTCACACAACATGCCACAGCAGAACGAGTAATTGGCAACACAGACTCCATATTTTCATTCTAGAAATAGGATGATTTAAACAATATAATTTGAGAGTTTTAAAATGAATGAGAAGATGCTTCCCAAGTAAATTTATAGTGTGCTTCAGTTCCCCACTCTCAGAGCTCTGCTTGCTTTGTAGGCCTCCCCTTTAAGGCCTCCCCTTTAAGGCCTCCCCTTTATGCCCCCTCCTCGGCCGCACGCACCAGTCTACAGATTGAAGTGGACAAAATTTAAATTTTAGTATTTCTATGTAGCTTTTACATAACTTTAAATTTATTCATTCAAAAATTCTGTAATGAACAAAAAAATCAGTTATGGTTTCTATTTATTCTTTTAGGAGATTTAAGTTTATTACACATATATACTCAGAAGTCTCCAACTAGTAAGTATATATATATATTTTAACAAATAGTTGGCATTATAGCATAATGCAGTTCAGCATCCCCATGGTTCTAAGTCTATTTCACAATCTCGGGGCCTGGGAGCTGTCCAGATAGACTTTCCCAGTCCACACAGAGGGCATCTCAATTACCATTCCTTAAGTGGTCTAGGACACACCCTGGGCACCCACGCTTCTAAAACTTTGAGAGAGCTTGACCAAAATTAAGATGTAACTGAGCTTCTTAACTGAACTGTGTTAAGATGAGATGTGCCAGCTTCATCCATGTTGGAAGCAGGAGGCTTAAATGTGTGTCTAGGGAACGTGCTCCTGGATCTTCCCAGGACGTGGATGACCCATCCCCTGCTAGACACCATCTGTGAGCCCCCTGTTTTAAGTTCCAACTTAGCAGGCTTCTCAGACACTCTGGACACTCAACTCATTATTCTAAACCTTTAAGGAAGACATATCGACAGTTTTCCTATTTCTACTAATTCAGAAGTGGGCAGATTCTTCAGACAGTCCTGCAAACAGAGGCCCCTACCACTGGCTCCTGACTGTTTACACTAGGCACACAGGCTAGGGAACCAGACAGCATCTCAGTATGGATCTGGAAGGAGGGACACCAAAAGCTTCATATCACGACTTCAAAGCTTGCAGAGATGAAAGGGCATCTTTCTATTTGCATCATAAACACGTTTTACATACCCTGATATTCCAAGAATCTTTCATTTTAGCAGGTGGAAAAACAATGGCAGAGGCACCTATGTAAAACACTGAGACTGGCTTGTGGCTGGCGATTAAGTGTTACGTGGCTTTGATATAACCACCGCAATTAAGTGCTCTGATGAGCAAGGACTTGTTGGGCTCTTTACAGGGTACAAGCTGTTGACTAATCCCCGGTTGATGCGATAAATCCATCATCATTGGGCACAGCTGCAAATGAGTTTTTAAAGGGATAGTTTTTGTTCAGCACAACAAATTCCGAACGTTTTGCCTCTTTCTCTGAAGGTTTGTTGTCAATGAGAGGTGGTGGGGTGGATTCTAGGCTGTCTGGCTGGTCAGTCTGTATAGCTGGAAAGCAGTTGCCTAGCACTAGGTGGTTCTCAGCATGCAGATGCAGGTTTCTGAGTCCACTGTCCAGCTAGTGAGTGGAGAATGTGGACAGGTATACTTAATAGCATTCACACACTGAGCACGCCTGCCTACTGGAACACTCTGAGACTGAGGTCACACAGGGAGCAGATCCTCATACCAGGTACCCCAGGGCTGAGACAACACCAGTCACATGCCTACTCTTCACCCTGTTGGGAAGGGCAAATACCAAAGGCTTTAAGAAAGAGTGAGGGAGGAGTATACTCGATGTTTTGTTTTGTTTTGTTTTGTTTTGTTTTGTTTTTTTCTGGGCTAGGTCTTCTGTAGCTTTAAAGGTTGGCCTTAAATTCTCTAGTTAGCTAAAGGTTCCCTTGAAGTCCTGATTGTCCTGTCTCTACTTCCCAAAAGCTAGAATTATGGGTGTGTGCCAGCATATCCAGCTTACGTGGTACCCCATCAAACCCAGGGCTTAGTCATTGTTAGGCCAGCATCTACCAACTGAGCTATATCCTCAGCTCCCAAAGTGGTGATCTTCTAGTTGTATCTAGAAACTTTGAAAACATCTTGCTCAATTTTATTGTATTTGTGTGGGTGGGTGGATGTGTTTGTGTGTGCATACACGTGGAAGTCAAAACATAACTTGGCTATCATTCCTCAGGAGCCTGCCACCTTGATGTTGCCAGCTTTATTTGTTTTCAGTTTTTTTCTTGTTTTAGCGTTCTCTGTGTATGCTTCACACGTGAAGTCCAGACAATAACTTTAGATATCTTTCCTCAGGCACCATCCACCTTGTGCTTTGAGGCAGGCTTTCTTAGTATCTCAATAAAATGGTCTCTCCTGTAAAAAGAAAAATAAGTCATCTTGTACCTCAAAAACAGTTTGTTTTAGAGACATACTTAGAAGACAATGAGCCTAAGTATATTTAAGTAAATCAGTTGTTTAATGAAACTGAGAAGAGATACATTTCCCATCAGCATCATTGATTCGTTATGAGCATGAATGAAGGCTGAGCCACAGACCATTTCACAGGGTTCACATCACTTCTGAGAAGATACAGGGACCAGCAGCTGAGAGTAGTGGGTAGATCCGAGGCTGAGAACACCTCAGTTAGAAGGACATCCCATCATCCCTGAACATTCTCTCAATCAGCTAGTCTGTATCAATTGCTGGGAAGTACACACATATTAGAAAGTCTGATGCTCTCAGAATCCTCTACACTGCCAGAAAGACTGGGACTGATGTAGTGGGCCCGCCAGCTAAGCATGGCAAGTCATCAGAGTCCCTTCCTTGTGGGTAAGAGCCAGTGGATACGTGGTTTTATGGCCCCAGAGCAACAAGAATGGAGCATGATGCCACTCAGGGTCACAGCCCTGAAGCCTGAATGCAGTCCAAGCCACTTGACCCTCGTTATAAAATCCCTATAGGAATAGCTTCTCTTTGTCCCAGTCCCTAGCCTCTGCTTGCACACAGGCCACCAGGCACATCTGTGGTTTCTCAGTAGGACCCAAGGAAGATCCAGGTTCCTTTCCCCTTGCAGAGACCATCAGGAAGGCTTGGCAACCTGCCAACTGGCACCACATCTCTCTGCAGCGCCATCTTGGATGTAGTACAGGGTCCTCTGGGCTTCACACAGGACGGCTGAGTGATCCCTGTGTCTGATTGTCTAACATGTGCGTTCCAGCTAGGACCACTGCTCTGTGGAAGAACATCAGGGCATCTTCTGTCCTCTCTTGCTGTCAGCTCCTCCCCTGGCTCTCTTCTGCAAGAGGAAGTTAGTTGGTCACACCATGGCTTCGCCTTGGGCTTGCCCCACTTCAGATGGAGCTCCTTGTCCACAGACCCAGTGTTCAATATCCATGAGAGTAAGGTGTTTAGAGATTTCCTGTCCTGACAAGATGAGGGTCATGAGCATCTCACCATAAGGTTCCTGACTGACAGGGCAGAATGGAATGCTGGAGACATTTGACTCTTTCTGTCCCCGCTGAGACACATCCAGTCCCTGTAAGCAGAGGGAAGATCACCGAGGGGACAGCAGGGCAGCGGGCATTAGCCACATGGCTAAGTGACACTGTAGTCTTGCTTCATTTATATTTGAGTGATACTGTAGTCTTCCTTCATTTACAATTGCTCCTTTGCATGGATCCCCAGGGACACCTCTGGCAGGAACAGGATTTGAGTTCCCATCTAAAAAATGGGTGTAACAAGGTTGAAACTGTTTGGACGACAAATGAAGACAAACTTGAGCTAAGGCATGAAATAGTTCTAAGGAGAAGTATTAAGTATCAAATTGGAGTTCATGAACATAAGACCTCCTGGGACCCGCTTCTGGAGTAGGTGTGAACTTCCCACTTTAACATCTTCTCCAACTGAAAACTGGCTTTGAAAATGTTTACTATGGTTATCCACTGTCTCACACACACACTCGTGGGTTTCTTGCCCATATGTAAGGAACTCAGAGGGCTTGTCATGCTTAGTGAGTCTTTTCGGGCTCATTTTGCCAGTTCATGGCCTCCCTTGTGTCCCTGATGACCTAGATCCTTCCCCACTACCTAGAATAACTTGTTTTCTTCTTATTGATTAGTGGATGGATCACACTGTTAGAGCAACTCCTCTGTCTTCTATGTGCATTCGGACTGTCTCCTCCTAAGTGGACCCATTCGTTTTGTTTTTTTTCTTTAAACCATCTCTTTAAGAACAGATGTTTTCTGTGCAGTTTGATTAGGTCTGTTTTCTCTCTTGTGGATATTGCTTTATGTGCCCTAACAGACCATCACCTATTCCCAAGTTACAGAAATGGTCCCCAGTGTTTTCTTGTGAAATCTTCATAATTCAGTTTTTACTCTGATGCCTATGGTCCAAAACAAATGGATAACTGGTTATGACGTGAGTCAGCCTGGGGTTTTGTGGGGTTGTTTGGGGTTTTTGCTTGTTTTGTGCGTGGATATCACATTATCCCAGTAGGTCATGCTGATATTTACACTTCTTGCTAAGTGTCTTAGGTGACTTGGTTAGAAGTCAATGACCCACATTAGTGTGGGCTCAGTGCTCCAACAGTAGTCTGGTTGTTGTACCTCCTAACACATGAAGTCAGCAATCATAAACCCACTTTTTAAACTATTGTCTATGCTGTTGTTCTAATGATACCAGAATTAGAACCAGCTATTTAAACTTTCATGGGATTATAATTGCAACTGTGTAGAATACACAGTTCACATCAGAGATGGCTGCCCGCCATTCATGAACATGGTACATCTCTTGATTCCTTTATCCATTCTTCATTTCTCTTGGCAGTGTTAAATAGTTTTCAACGTAGATGTACTCCACATCTTTTATTACCTCTATTTCTAAGTAGTTCATGCTTTTTGAGGTTATTTCACATGAATTGATCTCATTTTTTCATTTTTGATGCTGATTAATAAATTAAAATCCAGCCGGACAGTGGTGGCACACACCTTTAATCCCAGCACTCAGAAGACAGAGCCAGGCAGACCTCTGAGAGTTCGAGGCCAACCTGGGCTATAGAGTGAGTTCCAGGTAAGGAGAAAAGCTACACAGAGAAACCCTGTCTCAAAAAACCCAAAAATAAATAAATAAATAAATAAATAAATAAATAAATAAATAAATAAAATCCAGGTGTTTTTGAATTTTGAAAACTTGTTAAATATACATATTTTCTCTAATAAAGTTTTCCATTCGTTTTCTTGTTCTCATCAATAATTGGGGTCTTTTGTGTAAACAGGAAAGCTTTACTTCTTGACATATGGTATGTATGCTTATTTACTTTTTCTCTTGTCTTTATACACTAGTTGGGTTCTCCAGTCCGAGGTCGAATGCAGGTGATGATAAAGAGACCTTTGCCTTGCTCCAAGGCTGAGGGACAAGCACTCCATCTCTCAACATTAAGTACTGCTTTACCTGAAGGTTTTTGTGGAGCCTTTTACCACACCAAGGAAGTGCAATTCTTCTCTGCTCCTAATTTCCTAAGAGCTTCTATCTTGAACGGGTTTAAGTATCTGTCAAACACTTTCTCATTGAGATAAACATACAGCTTTCTACTTTATTCAGTTGCTTTAGTGGATCATGTCGATTTTCAAGCACTGAATCAACTTTGTAGGATAAAGCCTGCAATGTATTATCCTTTTCTGTGTGACTGGGTTCAGTGGGCTAAGGCTTTATTACAGATGTCAGCATCTATGTGCACAATTTCCTTGTGGTTCCTTTGTCAGATCTTGATGATCTCATAATATGCAATAGGAAATACTCTTTTTCTGTTTTTAGAAAAGAATATTATATGATTGCTATGATTTCTTCCTTGGGGATTCCCTTTGGGGAAGTTATTTTGAGAGAAAGCTTAGTATTTGATGCTTAACTTTTATCCTGTATCATTTTTTTAACAAGTAGATTTTTTTTTCATTTTCATTTGTCATTTTACTAACTAGTAAATAATCAATCAATGAGTGTGCATTTCATTGAAGTTGTTATATTTCATTCTACTTTTGATGTTGGTCTGATCTAACACCCTTTTCGGTAGCACGATTAGTTTCTGTTTCCTGTGTTTCCTGAGTTCGTGGGCAGGGCTGAGGCACGGCATAGTGGTGCAGCCAGGCGGGATGTTGTTTGTCCTCACTGGCTTCTGCTGCCTCCTGTTTCGTGCATTTAACTGAGAGCTCCATCGGTGCTTCCCGCTACCTCCTTTGCATCTAATGCGCTCATCTGAAATTCCTTAGATTGTTGCTTTAAGTCATTTAAAATCGGCATTGCAGAATTAAATATAATCTTCAAAACATGGCTTTAGTCATAAAATTTTATGTGTGTTTTCATTTTCATTCAGTTTGACTTGATTTTTCCCATTAAAAATCCTGCTTTGATATGTATGATTTACAGAAGTTCGTGTAACATGAAAAATGGTTGAGGCTTTTCCTGGAGCCACCACCACTAGTACTGATTTAAATGCTGCTCCGCTGTGGTCAGAAAAAACACTGGTAATTTCAGATGCACGGAGAGCTGTTTTATGTGTTGTCCTGATAAACAGAGGGCTTGTAAGTGATGCAGATTCCCATTACTGCCAGATAAACCATTTAGATTCTGTAATTTAGACTAAATTTTAACTTTACGTTCGTGTGTGTGTGTGTGTGTGTGTGTGTGTGTGTATGTATGATTTTTGTATTGCAGTTTTTTTTTTTTTTTTTTAAATCAGCAAATGGAAGATCAAAGTTTATTTACTACCTGCATACAAAAACATATTGCACATCAAACAACCAAAATCAAAAAAGAGGGGAAAAAAAGGGGAAAAAAGGAGGTGGGAAGAAAATGTGAAAGATACTCTACTGAAGACTAAACATGTAGTTTATACAGAATAAACCCTCTGGAAATTGATCTTTTCAGTAGTTCAGGCTATGTCTGAATGGACATGACTAATCAGCTTAGTGTTTCAACTAAAGCTATGTTTGATTTCTTTAAATACTGTACACTTTAATAAATAAACCAAACAAAGCCTCAATGTAGAACAGTCACTGCCAAAATCACCCACTGTCCCTGCAGATGAGTTAACATATGTATTCCAGTGGTCTGCAGACTTGCCTCTACAAACAGCATTTAAAAAACACGTAACAGACCAGTTTCCAGACTAAACTAATGAAGAAAATTACAATTCAGTGCAAAATATTTTTAAACTGCTTCATTCTAGTTTTCCTCAGGTGAAGAAGTGGTTGCATATTATTAAAAATGTAACAAAAGCAGCTAATGCTTTCATAAAGAATATTACGTTTGGG